AACATGCTAAGTGAAATAAACCGGACACAAAATGACAAATATGGTATGATTCCACTTACATGAAATGAATAGGGAAATGCATAGAAATAGAAAGTAGAGTAGAGTTTACAGGGACTGATAGGAGGAGGAAATGGGAAGTTATTGCTTAATGGGTTCATAATTTCTGTTGGGGTGATGAAAACGTTTTGAAACTAGTGGTCAGGGTATTGCAACCAATGTCACAAAACAACGTATGTATAAATTTTTGAATGAGATACTAGTTTGTGCTGTAAACCTTCACTTAAAGCACAATAAAAATAAGAAAACAAAAAAAGTGGTCAGAGTTGCACAACACTGTGAATGTAATTAATGCCACTGAATTGTACACTTAAAAATGGTGAAAATGGCACATTCATGTTATACATATTTACCACAATAAAATAATATAAAATGCTCTCTGAATGATTAAAGTAGAATCTATGGAAAAATAAAAATAAAGTAAGAATCATAGGGAGTTGGCTCACGACTTTTAATCCTGAATGTGCCTAAGTAACCCAAAAAAAACAAACCAATCCCACTGCCATCAAGTCAATTCCTACTCATAGCAAACTTATAGGACAGAGTAGAACTGCCACGTAGGGTTTCCAAGGAGCAGCTGGTGGATTTGAACTGTTGACCTTTTGGCTAGCAGCCAAACTCTTAACCACTGTGCCACCAGGGCTCCATGCCTAAGTAAAGCCAACTGAAATTCAGACCTTCAATACAACTTGGTTTGTCAATTTAGACAATTTTAAAAGGTATCAACATGAGTTCTAAGAACTGCACAGTACTGGAGTAGGCTTTTGCATCTTCCTCTTCCCCTTTGGCCTTCAATTTAGAAGAATCACATTACCGGGGTTGCTTAATGAGATAAAAATAGAAGACAGAGGTGAACTAAGTCACCTAGTTTTGTAGTGTTTTCTTCTTTAGCTCTAATTTAGACTCAAGCAGTTAAAAAAACTGTCTTGGTGCTGTTTATGATGTGAAATATGAAAGAATCTGTGTAATGTCTAGAATGGGAGTTTTAGAACAACTCCTCTGGATAGCAAGGTATCAGTGTGTGTGCTTAAACCCATTGCTGTCGAGTCGATTCCAACTCATAGCAACCCTATAGGACAGATTATAACTGCCTCATAGGGTTTCCAAGGAGCAGCTGGTGAATTCGAACTGCCAACCTTTTGGTTAGCAGCCAAGCTCTTAACCACTGTACCACCAGGGCTCAGGGTTTCACTTACTATCCTGTGGAAGCAAATCAAAATGTGGTGAAAACATTATATACAAAGGGGTTCACTGCAAAAAGGGTTACTTTTAATAGAGAAGATTTGTTAGAAGCCCAAATGTTCGAAAATGAATGGTTGAATTAGCACTGTCAGTCAATGGAATATTCATCAGTCATTAAAAATGACATTTATCGTCATGCTGAGTGAAATAAGTCAGTTACAGAAGGACAAATATTGTATGATTCGACTTATATGAAATATCTAGAACAGGAAAATGTATACAGACCTAAGGTTATTAGTGGTTACCAGGGTTGCGTGTGAGGGAGGCGGAAAAGGGGACTCGCTGCTTAGGAAAAACTGAGCTTTTGCTACAGATGATGGAAAAATTGGAAATGGATAATGGTGATGGTTGCACATCATGAAGAGTATAATTAATGTCACTAAATTGTACATATGAAGAATGTTGAGTTGCCACATTTTTTTATGTACATATTTAGCACCAAGAAAAATAATGTTTATGAAGATGATATAATGCCAGATTTATAATACCACACTGCTAATGTGATATAATTGTGATATAATACAGAATAAAAACTGTGTGATCAACCATGTTAAAAAAAAAAAAACAAAAAAACCTGTTCATGGGGAAAAAAAGACCGAAAGGAAAATTTTACATTAGTTATTGTTGGGTGACAAGAATATGGCTGATATTTTGTCTACTTCTACTTTTTGTATTTACAAACGTACAATAATAAATGTATGTATTATAACAATAACTCATATATGTCAAGTGCTTGCTTTGTGCCAGGCAGTGTGGCATTCTTTATGTCATTTATTCCCCCCTGCAGTCCTTTGAGACAGGTGCTGCCATTAGCCCATTTCAAAGAGGAGGGAATTGGGGCTCAGGCAGCAAAGGAACTTGCCTAAGGTCAGGCAGCTATAGTCAGTGGCAGAGCTAAGTCTTAATCATTATATATGCAAAGTATATAATGAATGTTAAAAAGATATTCAAAGGAGCAGGGCTAAGATTGGGTATTAAAGACTCTCCATACCCACGAAGCAGAGTGGAGGCAGAAAGACAAGGAAGGAAAGGCATCGAGGTGAGGTTTAGTGTCCGCCCGTCAGGAGTTTACAAGGTATGCCTAATTGATGTTTTTCAGTTGCACTTTCTTATTGGCTTATCTACTCACACAATTAATATGGAAATATGTTCTTGTAATAATTTCATACCATAGAAACATATCTAAGACGAAAAAAAGCTATATAGAGTGCACGTGATTGGGTTAGTGGAACATTGAATCAGTAGCTGGAGGACTTTGTTTCTGGATCTGCCCTTAGCTCACTCTATCAAATTAAGTCAATTTGCCTTTGGTCTTAGTTTCTCCATCTTTGTAGTAAGGAAAAGCAACTTTTCCATCTACATGATTCTTTACTTATGAACCTGCTTATTCACTCGCAATAAATACTTAAAAGTTACTGGTGTTATTACCATTAGCTGAAGGATAGTGTGATTTTTTTAAAAAAAGGGCATGGGTTTAGGGATTAGGCAGAACCGGATTCAGGCCCTTTGGGCCCTCAAAATTCCTGAGCCTCAGTGTCTGCAAGTGTAAAATGGAGACAATAATACATGTCTTGAGGGTTGAGGGGAGGAGTAAATGAGATGGCCTGTGTAAAGTGACTGGGTGATGGTCACCTCTCAACAACTGTACTTTCCCCTCCCTACTCCACCTTAGCTCAACCTGATCTGGCTTTTAGTAAAGAAGAATGAGGCCTAACTATATTTTCTTGTAAATTTTTGCACAACTTAGTAAATCAACAGAACATTAACCAATGGTGGTAAGTTGCTAGTCCTCCAGCCTGGGTGGTAGGAAGTAGGTGAAGCAAAATGGAATGATCTTGACATACATGAGAGTGGAGGGCATGCTTTTGGCCTTGCTGCTGGACTCATGGAAACTTGGCAGTTCCAGAATGCAACAAAACACCCCACAGAGGCGTGGAACACATGCTTCTTAATCTCTCACCCCCTCTGTTAACCTTTATTTAACCCATCCTGGAGGGAGCAACAAGTGAGTGCTTTGATGTGCATAAACAATTCGGATTGCTCTGTCACTCTGAAATGTTGCAAGAAGTGACATATGAGCTAAGATCTAGAGTCCCTCCTGTACTATTTCAATCTCTGTCAATAGAGTTCCTGAAAATGAATCTTGTTGCCAGAAGGTGCCCTCTTCATGGGCATTCAAGTGATGGCTGCTCAGTCAAGGTGAGCAACTGTAGTGTGACATTCTCTACATCCCTCCAATCAGCAATGTCCCTCCATATATCACAGTGGGGGAGGTAGTATGTGGTCATGGCTAAGGGGGTGGGCTTTGAAGTCAGATCAACCACCTACATACTGTGTCACTTGGGCAATTTAATTAACCTCTCTATGCCGCCATTTTCTCTTCTCTAAAAAGGGACAGAGTACTATGGCTATTTTATCGGTACTAAGGCTATTATTTGGAAACCCTGGTGGCATAGTGGTTAAGAGCTACACCTGCTAACCAAAAGGCTGGCAGTTTGAATCCACCAGGCGCTCCTTGGAAACCGTATGGGGCAGTTCTACTCTGTCCTATAGGGTCTCTATGAGTCGGAATCAACTCTTTGGCAATGGGTTTGGTTTTTTTTTTTGGTTAAGGTTATTGTTGTTAGCTGTCGTTGAGTCAACCCCTGACTCATGGCGACCCCATGCACAACAGAACAAAACACTGCTAGGTCCTGCGCTATCCCTATGATGGCTTATGGATTGGACTGTTGTGATCCATAGGGTTTTCATTGGCTGATTTTCAGATGGGCAGTGGTTGCGTGTGAGGTGTATTGGCCAAGAATTGAACCTGGCTGTCCGGCATTGAAGGCAAGAATTCTACCACTGAACCACCAGTACTAAGGCTATAGTGAATATTAAATGAGAATACCCAGGTAGAGCACACAATACAATGCTTGGCATATAGTAAACATCTAATAAATGTTAAATAATATCATGTCATTAGTATCTTGTCATATTACTGTCTTAGTTTTCTAGTGCTGCTGTAACAGAAATACCACAAGTGGATGACTTTAACAAACAGAAATTTATTCTCTCACAGTTTAGTAGGCTAGACATCCAAATTCAGGGTGCCAGCTCCAGGGGAAGGCTTTCTCTCTCTTTCGTCTCTTGGGGAAGGTCCTTATCATCAGTCTTCCCCTGGGTCTAGGAGTTTCTCAGAACAGGAACCCTGGACCCAAAGAACATGCTCCACTCTTCTTTTTTTGTGATAGGAGGTCCCTCTCTCTCTCCTCGCTTCTCTCTCCTTTTATCTCTTGTAAGATAAAAGATGATGCAGGTCACATCCCAGGGAAACCTCTTACGTCGGATCGGGACAGTGGTCTGCGTAAGTGTGTTGCATCCCACCCTAATCCTGTTTAACTTGACATAATCTTGCCTTGCTAACCACAGGCAGAGATTAGGATTTACAACACATACAGCAATTACATCAGGTCACAAAATGGAGGACAACCACGCAATACTGGGAATCATGGCCTAACCAATTGACATATTTTTTGGGGACGCAATTCAATCCATGACAATTACCACACTTGAACTGAGGCTCAGTTCAATATCACCTGTATGTACGAAATCGCCCTACCATGGGCCAGTGATTTCATGCATACAGGAGATACTGTACAATACAGTGAGCAGATACTAAATGACCTTGATTCCATGAGGTGTTTTTTCCTTTCTTACAGCACAGGTGTGCATCGGAATCCTTGTGATCCTGATCATATACAACTATTGGTTCCTTTATGTTCCTTACTTGACATGGCTTTACTTTGACTGGTGTACCCCGGAGCAAGGAGGCAGGAGATCCCAGTGGGTCAGAAGCTGGACTGTTTGGGGGTACTTTAAGGACTATTTTCCAATTCATGTGAGTAGCATTGTTTTATATGGTGTTGATTTGAGCTAGGAGAAGAATGGAAATTTGTTTTCATCACATATATTTCCAGCTTTTTTCTTTTCAGAGGGAAAAAGCAGGCAGTTCAGCCCAAGTTGCTAAATGGACTCTAAGCAAAATTGACAAAGCTGAGAAGTCTATGTGTGGAGGACTCTGGGCTCAGGAGAGAGTCCGAACATTTGGAAACATCTCTAACCTAGATAAATGAAAAGAGTCCTGTACTCTGTTTCTCCTTGACATAAGAACTAATGATGAGCCCTTTCGTTTCTCACTGTAGACTAATAAGGGAATATTTTGTCTTTTATCTCAATATAAATCTGCTATAGCTCATCAAAACTTGGAATTTGGATCCAAGTCACAACTACATATTTGGGTTTCATCCCCATGGAATACTGGTTGCTGGAGCCTTTGGAAATTTTTGTACAGCTTATTCAGACTTCAAGGAGCTATTTCCTGGATTTACTGCATATCTTCATGTGCTTCCGTTTTGGTTCTGGTGTCCTTTCTTCCGAGAATATGTGATGAGTGGTGGTAAGTAAAGGCAGATAACTACAGTGATTGAGGGTGGCAGGAGCATGCAGAATGTTTCCTCCCAAACCCATTTGGGCTTAACAGTCTCTTATGGCAAAACCCTGTGTCCTTATCCCTATCTGGTATTTCATATGCTGTCTGGATATTTCATGCCTCCTCCACTGGACTATAAATGCTGGGAGGATACAGCCTGTGCCTCTTTTTCTGTTCCATCCCAAGCATCTAGCACACGGTGCCTAAAACATACGAATGCTGAGTAAATATTTGTTCAATTAAAAAAAAAATGACTCAATATGTTTCTTGTATCCAGATGTGAAAGAAAGAATCGTGGCTCAAATAAGTGGTAAATCACACCTTAGGAGAGGCCCTTTGTATACTTTTGTGAATATTAGAGAGAGAGAATGTCCTCTAATGCATCTTGAAGTAATGGCAATGATAGAAACTAAACGTTCTCAACTTGCTATCTTTTTATTCCCAGATTAGCTATAACTTGATTCAGGAACAAGAGTTCATTCTGCTCTGCTACTTGAGCCAATGGAAGACTCTTTGATTAGTGAAACCATAATTCTATTAATTCCAAGACAAAATTAAGCCAAAATGCTTTAAAGACACTTTATGAATGCATACAACTTGTGTTAGTAGCTCTCATTTCAACTTCAGAGGCTCAATTTGTTTAGTTTTCCAAGTTGACCTGCTTATTGATGAACCATGAACTGTAATAACTTATAGATTGTCTTATGCTTATGAGCATTGTGTAGGTAGATTATTATTGTCCTTGTATTTCTTAGATATAAAGAAAAGTATAGTCTCTTTTTTAAAAAATTATAATTTCAGGATCAATAAATGGCATATTCAGAAGTAGAATATTTCACGGTCTTCTAGGTTTTCATACTTCCTATTAATTTCTCAAGTCACTATTATCATTAGGTAGCTGTTAGGAAATCACCAAATACAAAAGGACCAGAATCCACAGCTGAGTTCTCAGATCCTGTTTGTGGAACTTCACCCATATAGTCCTGGGCCCTGGAGTCTGTGCTGTCACTTCATCTGACCTCTAGAGGGCGAACTAAAACCCCCCATACTATGCTAGAGGGAAAAAATCCCTTCTCTTTCCTTTTGTGCAGACATTGGGTTAGAGTTTTTCAGAAGGAGGAAAATGTCAAAAAAAGTACAGGACTTCTGGGCAACATGACAGTATAGTCAGAAGCACCACGCCATCCCTCTGCAGCAAAGATCCAAAAACTAAGTCAAACAGAGCCACACGTCAATCCTGAAACCCTCAGCATCAAAGGAAGAGGTAAAGAACTCAGCCAAGCACCGAATGGAATAAGAAATTGACCGAGAACAGAGAATGAGGAGAGATACATGCAGAGGTCCTCTATCATCTACCGCAGCACAGATCTGCCATCTTGGACTTCTATCAGAGATCAGCAAACAGAGGGTATGAAAAAGCAGCTTCACGGAACTTCCAGCAGGAGACAGAACAACTGGTAACCAGCAATATACACTTTCCCACCCCCAACCCTTCTTTAGCCCCACTTGGCTTCGTCTGCTTCCTGCAGCCACAGTCTCTTAGCCGGGAAGCAGTGGTTTCACCCTGGTGTTGCTTGGATTCCACCCACCTGCACTGGCCAGCTCCCTGAGTGCCATTTGTTGGCTACTGGTGTTGCTTTTTTCCCATTCTTAAATTTCTTCCTTACCTCTCACCACCTCCCCCTCCTTTCAAATACCTGGTTCTGTGTGCCATCTTTACTCCTTCTTGAAAGGCTGTGAAACACCACTCAACTGTGAAACTGCCTCCTTGCCTGTGCTGCCACCCTGGAGGGACCTCCCCACCCCGGGGCTTTTTGTTTGTTTGCTCTGGTTTGTTCTGCTTTGATTTGTTTGTTTTCTTTTTCTTTTCTCAGTTTGGGAGCCCCTTCTAGCTGGGCAGTACCGCGCAGCTTGGAGGCTACTCACTCTGTGCAGGCGCACAGGGACATCACTGTGGGCATTACTTTTTTCTTGATTTTTTTTTTCTTTGTTTTGTTTTCTTCTCTCTCTTATTCCCTTTTTGTCTTTCTTCATTTCCAGTTTCTTGATTTACTCATTTTTTTCTTTTACCCTTCTTTTTTCATTTTTGTTTTTCCCCATTTATCAGTCTCTCATCTCTCCACTCCAATAGCAAGCTCCCTTAGCACTCTTTTTTGTTTGTGTGTATGTTTTTGGCTCCCATTCCTCTCTCCTCTCTCTCATCTTTCCCATACCCATCTTAGCTCCACACATCACAATCTCTCCCCTCCTTCCTGCCTTCCTGCACTGTGCGCTGAACATCACACTCCCGAGCAGCACAGGCACAGCCTACTGGAACCTGCCCTGCACTGATTCCCAGACTGCACTGTCAGCCCTAGTACTTGCCACAAACAACCCATCCCAGCAACTCCTCTTCAACTGGACCTGCCCTGCTGTACCATACCTGAGTGACTGACCCTGCCCATTGGGTAAGGAGGCAAAAAGTATTGTGCCCACAGACGAGCAAAAAACAAAGAACACATATCCCGTCTGCTCAGACATAACCAAATAAAAAAGCAGGATGAAGCAAACAAATCTACAATCAGTAAATGAGGAAAATAACTGCTGAATGCCCCAAAGACAGCAGACAATATCAAAACATATACAAAAACAGGACAGGATGTTTCCATTAGGTGTCCAAAATAAAACACCAGATGACTTTCCAGTAGAAGAAAAGGCAGTAGAACTAACTGATAAGGAATTCAAATCTCTAATATTCAGAATTATCCAAGAGTGGAAGCAAAAAGCAGACAAAAATGAGGAAAAAATAGACAAATTCATGGAAAACACAGAAAAACGGAAGAATTCAAGAAAATAATACAGAAACAAAATGCTAAAATTCACAACTAAATGCTAGGAGCCCTAATACATGGCATAAACACAATACGAACCATAAGTAACCAATGCACAAGCACCAGAAGACAGACTAGATAAATGGGAGCTCCTAAAAATCAAACACTTATGCTCATCAAAAGACTTCACCAAAAGAG